GATGTGTATGTACTTCAAGGTGAAATTGGGAAGGGCCTCCTGTATTGCATTATCGGTTAATGAGCAAAACGGTTTGCGTAAATATTATTGGTTGTGTAATCTCAACTACTGACATTTTGTATTTTATTTGCCAATGTACAACTGATTTTTATGTTGAATTAAAAATGTGAAATATTTGGATAAATTTTTTTTTTTTGTATATACTGCCCCATTTTATTGAGTCTTGTTACATACCTATACAGTATTTATATTACATAGCCCTGTAAATATTTAGGAGTCCCAGTATTTGACCGTCCATAAAATAATTCTAAACAATATAGACAATCAGCAAAGTATACGAAACGTAGAAAGTGAACCACGAGACACCGAACTGGGCGAACTACCCAGTCATGAAGCAGTTCATTCATTAATTCTGCCTGCACACCACCAGGTGAATGTGTATCCAGCTTTTTGGTCCCATAACCTTCCCCCATCAGTCATATTGCCTCACACAGTGCAATAAGACGACATTATGTTCCTCATTTCTGCTAAGCGCACTTCAAGTCCCAGTTATTCAGGTAAGTGTAGGCCATCCTAGACCTGGGTTTCTGGCCATTTGCTTGTGTACTCGTTTTGTATTTTAGTATTTACTTCACATGCATGTATATTTATGTTTCATTTCTTGTGTGGACTCTTGATTAATTGTTCGCTTCAAATGGCTCCTGCCTAGAGTGACCATTTCCAGGTGTTTGCTGGTGTTGCCTCCGCCCAGCCAGATCGTCTTCTCTGGTGCGTTCAAGCGACTGTCTCTTAAGGGTCTATATAGTCCTGAAGAAGGAGCCTTGCCCTTAGCAATGCAAAGGTCTTTGACTCCACTGCAAGGCTTTTGAGTTTGGAGCCAATGGGATGTTCTTGCTTCGGGGTCACAAAGGAAGTTCGCGTGTGCTTTTAAAGGTATGCCACTTATACCCTTAACAGCTGCCTGTGTCCCTAGGCTATTTTTGGCATTTGGGATATTCAGCAAGCAACCCCTGTACTTTCTGCTTAGTCCATCCTTCAGGACCTGGCCAGCCCACGTGGTTTTCGGCAGTTTTGCTTAGCTGGCCCTCCGATTCTGTACTTGTTGTAGTGAGAAAGGAACGGAATGGAACTACTGTATCTGGTGAAGGTGCTAAGCCATTTCGACTATAGCACTAGGAAGAGGTCAGGATAAGGATTTGGGATGGGGACGAGGGAAAGGAATGGTGCCCAATCACTTGGACAGTCAGGGATTGAATGCAAACTTGCATGAAGCGAGACCGTCACTCTACTGTCCAGCCCAAGTGGTTGGGAGGTTTTTAAAATGGCCATCGGTGTTATTGTATTCCAATGGCCATCCATTGCTACCTCTACAATTGTGCCTGTTGATGGATTAACACTTCTATTCTGGGAGCTGCAAATTTGTTGTCATAATGTGTCTGAATTGGCTCTCGACCCCAACCCAGGGGAGTTGACATCATGGATTAGCTCTCAGGTGTGATGTGGAGGGCGTCACATGTATCATAAATCAGCCTCTGTAAGTAGCAAGGTCCCTTATATAAGTGAGGTACTGTATATGGGTCTGTGTGTCCTGTCGTGGCTGGATCTGATCCAAAATGGTGCCCTTTATCCCATGCTGGGGGGGGGGCTGTCTTCATTGTCAATGCTATTCATCAGTGCCGAGTCGGGGGTTTCACTCCCAAAATTTGAGTGCTTCCTCGTGTGTGTGTCTGATTCAGAGGATCGTGCACCTATGGTCTGAGGCTCACTAGTGGGATGTGGCAGACAGACATTCATGGTGTTGCAGGCTGCCTTTTATAGTCAGAGCCCAGGAACTTTTTAGAAAAAAAGTTAACTGAGGGAAACCCAATGATAACTGCCAGGGGGCTAAGTAAACATGTCAACCTGAAGTGCAGGATGACCAAACCTCTAGGATATATTCAATATCCTCACGGCAGTCCTGAGATCTCTATTCCCAGTCTCATCATTGGGTGAAAGGAGGATAGTACTGATTCTGGCATTCAGCAATATTTTTTTGAGACTAACCAGGGCCTCACCAATGCAAGAGGGGACAGCTAGACAAGCAGCTGTCTCCTTAGAGAGTGCCCTCGACAATGTGAGTGCCAGCCCAGGTAGGAGTAAACTGAACCTGAGCATCTACAGAATCAATAAGGTATCTGCGTGTGCAAGTCATCAAGGTCAGAATGGTCATCACGAGGTACATCAAGGAATTTGGGCCATGTAGTAGGGAGTCAGTCTTGAAATGCAGTAGTCTTTGTAGGAAGCACGTGTATGATACAGCAGCCGGTGGCTGAGCGGACAGAACACTGGAGGCATGATCCTGTGGTCCCGGGTTCGATCCCGGACGCCAGCAAGAAACAATGGGCAGTTTCTCTTTCACCCTGATGCCCCTGTTACCTAGCAGTAAATAGGTACCTGGGTGCTAGTCAGCTGTCATGGGCTGCTTCCTGGGGGTGGAGGCCTGGTCGAGGACCGGGCCGCGGGGACACTAAAAAGCCCCAAAATCATCTCAGGATAGCCTCAAGATGTGGCTTCGTGCCTCCCAGTAGGAGGGGAGCAAATGGCACTATAGTAAACACCATGGAACTGGCCACCCTAGGCAATGTGGTAGACATCAGGGATACTAGTCACCCTGCCAAGAAACGGACAGGGAGAGGAACCAAAGCAGTAGTCCTAGACAATGTCTGGTATCAGCCTGACACAGCTGGAGCTACGGGGGCCCGATCTCCCAACACTACTCAACTCTGGAGTTTTTGATCACCCACCCCACAATTCTGACGAGGGAAAGCATTGACATGCAAAAAAAAAAAATAAAAAAATGGAAACATTGCTGTCCAGCACCCCTGCCACCACCTTGTTTGGGCTCCAAGGGGAGGAACTAGCACATGGACAAGCAACTTCAGGGGTAATGAATAATATACAGTACTAGTATGTGGGGAAACCACTGAGGGGCCGAATAGCATCCTAGGGACCGATAGGTATACCAACCCCCAACCCCCATCTCGCAAATTCGTAAAGTCAATATTGACTTATTAACTACGTGCATAGGTGATATACTAAACATAATAGATACCCTTAAAAAGATTCATAGAAAACACCGACCTTACCTAACCTTGTTAGTATCTTAAGATAAGCATCTTATTGCTTCGTAATTACAATTATTACTTAACCTATACCTATTATAGGTTAGGTAATAATTGTAATTACGAAGCAATAAGATGCTTATCTTAACATACTAAGTAGGTTAGGTAAGGTTGGTGTTTTCTATGAATCTTTTTAAGGGTATCTATTATGTTAAGTATGTCACCTATGCACATACTTAAAAAGTCAATATTGACTTATTAAATTTGCGAGAACGGGTTGCAACCCCACATTGCCACTTGACCTAATGTCTAACTAGGCAGGGCTAATCAGACGAGCTAATTGGTTTAGGCAAGTCGCACAAACTCCCTTTTTACTCCCCTCGCCTCCAAGGGCTGCAGCTACTAAGCAGGCTCAACTCCCAGAAAGAGGAACATCAGGGAATGTACAGGTCTCTGTATGCAGTGAACGTGTAGGAGTGGATTTCGCTTGCACACTGCCACACCAGTACAATATATGTATGATTTAATAAGACTTGAGGCCTCACGATTTAGATTGGGCCTTGATATTATGTAGGGGCCTTGGGCATTAGGCCAAAAATGGTTCAAAATTAGAGTATTAAATTTACCAACACCTAAAACATTAGGACAAACAACTTGCTGAATCAACTTTGTGAATTTTAACTGCTAGGGTATTCAATTGTTTGTATGGACATTCCTTTTACAGTTTGTAGCCTAAAAAGAATGAAACTTAGTCCATTGCTCTACATTTTAGCAATACAGAGCTATAGTTATGATTAAAATTGTCATTTCTAAAAGTTCCATTAAGGGGTCTCCACACTGATCACTTGCAGTAAAGGTCAAATATTTTTACCATAGAGCACCAGGCTCTAAACAGATGCCATCCCATTGAGCATCACATCAGCACCCAAGTCCCAGCTGTGTCTGGGTACAAGCGACAGGATGAACAACCCAGCGGGTTTTCTTCCTATTGGGGAGTGTGTTCTGCTATGGCGGTATGTTCACTCACAAGATGAGTGGCGCTGCCCAATAAACTCGCCCCTCGGGGCAAAAATTTAAATCAGCCACCCATCATGCCCCCACACCCATGGGCTGGATATTGAGGACAGCAGGCAGTAGCTTTGACCAAGGCTCTTTTGCTGCCCCCTTTCACCTGTGGGCAGCAGCGCATAAGACCACCACAGCAAAGAACAGCCAACCCTTGCCACGGCCAACTGAGGGGTCAAATGGTTATTAAAGAGCTATAGGTATGCATTTTAACATCCTAACAATTTGGACCACTGTATCTAGTATTCACATTTAATATTACAGCATTTTGTGCAATAATCTTTGTTTTACCTTGTATGCAGGTATTTGTTTTTCTTCACAACACTTGGGCCAACTGTAGATAAGTAAACATAATAAGTAATTTTGACATTTGAGAACCAAGCTAAGTAATGCAAGTTATGATATTAGTGACTTAAGATTTATACACAAGGGTCATTGCATACCATGTACCAGCTTTTTCAAACCCAAACAATACAGGACTAAAAAAAGTGCACAATCTTGACAAGCCACATGAAGCCATCAAGACAAAAAAAGCCACATGACCAGATAAAACCTTGTGCAGGCGATGTCACAATAACGTGGCTGAAGTATGTTGACCAGACCACACACTATATGCAGCTTTGTATATTTAACAAGGTTAATATATGGCAAGTTAAAGCAATTCCTCTTATGGTCAGAACTGGCATTTTAATATAGAAGTACCTAGATGTGTATGCATGATGCCATAGTCTGCATTTTCTTATTTAACCAATGAGGGGGCAGAAGTGAACTTTGCAAGCCGAAGGAAACTAATAGAGTATCTTGCATTTTTAGTTTGAATTAAAAAGCCATTAATATGGTTCTCATTTTATTCAAGATTTTGTAAAGGCAAGTTATTTTATATAACCATTACATATTCATTGTAAATTACTCGATCTTAAAATTCTTAAACCAAAGTACTCATCACCACAAGTAGTTTGAAACTTGTAGTTGAAAATACTACTTTTGTACCAAATTAGGAACTTTGGTGCAAATACGTACAAGCTGTGCAGTTAAAAAGTTTAAAAAACCATGTACATAATTCTATACTTTAATACATTGTGAAAGTTGTCAATACTTTGCAAGCACAAAATGTTTAATTTTTAAATAAAGTACATTAAAACACTTGCACCACTAATAAAGATACCGAATAGTACATTAATAAAAAATGTCGCTATATATTTCACCGAGTTCGCTGCAAGACCATGCCAATTACACATGAAAACTTGTCTTACTCCATTTACAAACGTTTGAACTTGTGTATGGTTTTTAAAAGAACTAATGCCATTAAAGTACTGCTGCAGACTACCCTTTAAAAATTTATTCAGCAAGTTAAGAATTTTTAACTTTAACCTAAAATTGATAGGCATGTCATGGTAAAAGATTGTTGTTGTAAATTCACTGAATCTTAGTCACTGTTTGCCAAGTTAAATCCAAATTTCAAACTATTTTCAAGTTGTCTTCAGTGTTTGACAATTTAAGTATCTATGCAGATACAGGTAGCCTATTTTTTTTTTCCTTTTCCAGAAAAAAAAAAATCAAAGCAGATGCTCCCCTTCGTGAAAATCTAGACTATGGATATAACACGTTGTCTCTAAGCTCAGATAACAAGATGGCAACATTAAAATGCCAAGAGGAAGTAGTTTAGAGCATCAACAGGTTTAGAAGTGGCCTAATCAGACCAAGCAGCCTTACAGCTAGTAAAGCCCAATAATTTTGTAGTTCTTTGGACCAATCTTTTGTGCAACAGTAATTTGATTTCAGCATTAAGGTAATTTGTTACATTTTTTTCAAGCATTTTTTTTATTTTTTATTTTTTAATGCACTCGCCAAGAGCCAATTTAAACAAAGCTATTTAACAATTTCATATATCAAGTTCCTAAGTGATTAATTATACAGTTTAAACATTTTTCACTGGCTGAATATGCAAGTTACTGTCATCTTTAGAAGCTAATGGGGTGGTTTATTATAGTTTATTACTACACAACTATAAAGCATGGTACACAATTTTGACATTTGAGAACCAAGCTAAGTAATGCAAGTTATGATATTAGTGACTTAAGATTTATACACAAGGGTCATTGCATACCATGTACCAGCTTTTTCAAACCCAAACAATACAGGACTAAAAAAAGTGCACAATCTTGACAAGCCACATGAAGCCATCAAGACAAAAAAAGCCACATGACCAGATAAAACCTTGTGCAGGCGATGTCACAATAACGTGGCTGAAGTATGTTGACCAGACCACACACTAGAAGTTGAAGGGACGACGACGTTTCGGTCCGTCCAGGACCATTCTCAAGTCGATCGAGACCAATCGACTTGAGAATGGTCCAGGACGGACCGAAATGTCGTCGTCCCTTCAACTTCTAGTGTGTGGTCTGGTCAACAGATAAAACCTTAATAGTAACAGTCTAACTTCACATAAAATTTTGCAGCATATATTGTGGTGGCATTAGTCCAGGAGGAAATCCAGCAGCCACAGGGTCTCCTTTGGTTAACATATTCCTGGGGCAATACTTGAGCGTGTGGGCATGAATGCCCGTTGCCCCACACAGCCGGCACTTGTACGACGACAACACTGGGCACATCACGCGTCCTCTCCTATCCTGAAGATTGAGAATGACGTATGTAAACTTTCAGAATGTTCAATTGCTTCATCAAGAACCATAAGAGGTTTTTAAGACTCCAGTAGTTTAAAGACAAAAGGAGCCATTTTAAATTTTAATATACAGTACTATTTAAAATGTTTTTAACTAAGCATGCACTTGGGTTAACTTATTTAACCTTATTTTAAATTAAGGTGTATAAAATACAATGATAGGGGTTAATTAGTGCACCGAAAAATAGTTGTAAAATTAATAAGGATTTAGCCTATTCACTTGCCAGCATTACATCAATCTAGTTATTCCATATGATAAAACGGTCAACCTGTCTACAAGTAATTATCAAAAGGCACCAAGCCAGGAAGACACCATTAGTGTGTAGACTCAAAATGTGCTAAATATCAAAGATGCTAAGGAGAAAGGGACACTAATGCATGCAATAAAAGGTATTGGATTCACCAAGGATTCTGACAAGGGACATTGGGAAAGCATTTGACAATCTTGAAAAAAAAATCAGGACAATCTACGAGAAGTTGCACGACAGTGCAATAACGTAGTTCGGACAAAAGCCGAGCAACATTCGATTAGCCCCTAGACCGAGTCGCTATTCCATGCAACACCCAGACGTGCTTTCAAGGCAGCTGTTAAATTTGCCACCTACTGAAAAGCTTGCAAGAGGCCAACATGTGCATTGTGGTGGCACTACAAGACCGTAGGCAAAAACATTTGTGACTAAAGAGTGCAGCACTGCCACGTGTGGACTGCTTCATCGAGTATCCAACTCGAGAACTAAGCGTTTCAATAATGGAGCACAAGCATAATCCTGGAAGTCTGTTCTTTTTGACTATCTGGAATTCCAGGTTTGAGTCCAAGCAGGACACATTATTGGGCATGTCTCCCATCACTTAATACCCAATGTACATAGCAGTAAATAGGTACCCAAGCAGTAGTTCAATCTTCCATGAGGGGGGGGGGGGTGATTGGATTTTTTTTTTTACAAAAAATCCAAGCTTGAGCAAACAATGCAAGTTGTATCAAGATAATTCTACTTTAAGAACAGTACCCTAGACTCACCTTTAAAGAGTGAAAATAATCCTCTTCTCCATTCTTTCGGCAGAACACACACCTAGGTGGTCTTCTGTAGAAGTTCCCTTGGGTTGGCTTATTAACAGGATTCTTTTGTAGCCGTCTGTCAGGAGGAACATAAGACTACTTTATATCTAACCATTATGGCAGACTGGCAAAACTGCATCAAAAAATTTACACTATTAGCAATAGAAATGGTAAAAGTAGATTGTACTGTATAGTAACGTGGTTCATTAAAAATAATTAGAATAGATAAAATTTAATACTGTGATAAGGTGTACAAATCAAAATAATGATTTTGGGAAGGTATAGATGAAGTGTGTCCATGTAAGTATACGGTAACTACTGTACATAAATGGAAGTGCAAGAATAATTTGAATTTATAAAATGTCCATAAACATTCTTAAATGAGATTGTGATAACCCATTAAAGTGTGCATATTTGAAGGTGTGTGTTTAGTGACAAAAGTGATAAAGAATGCACAAGAGTGTGCCAAGTGCAAATACCAATGCGTGTTGAAGGATCTAAGAAACCAGCTGGCCCAGATAGAGTTTCACCTCGAGTTGTGAGAATGCACACCTGAGCTCAGCATGCCACTAACTGGATTTCAGGCATCCCTGTGTACAAGATTCCTGGTAGATACACTGAAATAGGCCAAGTTCCATATGCAAAAGTGACACCCTTACAGACCTATATCATTGACAAGTGTAGTAAAAATATTAGACAAAATAATGAACTAAGTAGGAAAAACAGCCGGAGAAAAGTGTTGACAGGCAGCATTGTTTTCGATCTGAACAACTCTGTTCAACGAATTTAAATGTTTGATAGTCCCACATGGTTTTTCGGGAAACTGGAAAATCGAGACTGTCTTTCAACATTATGAAATTTTTTTATGAGGGTAGTAATCAAACAATATACAAGACTATAGAAATGTCACACGTGGGGTATTCAGGGTTCAGTTTTTTACACTGGTAATGTTCATTGTCTACAACCTACCAGAAGGAATACAGAATTAATGTACAGTATATGAACACTTGCCTATTAGTATACTAAGGAAGAAGCTAAAGACTAATTGTCCCCTTCAAGAAGGGAAAAAGTATATGAAGCACCACTTTGCCTGTAGAAAACTTATCACTCTAGGACCACAAAGAACATTGCACAAGGAGCCTATGCTATGCTTTCCAATTTCAGAATGCTTTTAAATACATGGATGGTGAAATACTAAAAATTGTTCATGACCTTTGCAAGACCAAATATTTAATGTGGAGCAGTTGTATAGTGCCCCTATCTTAAGCACATCAATAAACCAGAAAAGGTGCAGACACGCAACTAAATGGCTCCCAGAACCAAGGAGCTATGAGGAGAGGTTAGAGGTATTAAATGCCCAAACTAGGTAGAAGGAAAAATACAAAATTAGCAGTATACAAAATAGTGATGGAAATTACAAAATTTATTTGCAAGAATTGCAGAGACTTAGAACATCAAGAACATATAAATCATTAAAACTTAAAGCTGCAAAATAAGTAAGAAAATTCACTTTGGCAAATAGCAGGGTAGATGGTTGGAACAAGTTAGTAAGGTGGGAGGCCGAAACAGTCAATACGTGATCTTAAGTCATATGACAGTGCTTCGAAGACAGGACACCACAAGCCTAGTTCATCCTTTAACTAGGCTATTAATTAAATATAAATATAAATAAATAAATAAATATGTTTATTCAGGTAAGGTACATACATACAAGTGATGTTACATGAATGGATTGATATATAGATAGAGCTAGTACATACAATGCCTAAAGCCACTATTACGCAATGCGTTTCGGGCAATTACAGGACATGATAGTGGGGTATCCAGCCTGCGGTATCTAAACTCATTAATAGCCACTAATACATTGAGGTAGTTCTCTTGGCACAGTGGTAAAGCACTCTCCCAGTGCTTCACGAGTGCTTTGACCTGGGTGGATTGACAGTGTGACAATTCTTAACTGTACAGTTTACTGCTGTACCCAGCAGTAAACAAGTACCTGGTGGTTAACCTATTTGACAGGTCATATTCCGAGGAAAATTTGGATCAAGGACCTGCCCGAAATGCTCTGCGTGCTAGTGGCTTTACAAGAATGCAAGAACTTATATAAATAAAATGAATGCAAGAACTTTTATAAATAAAAAATCATTTACTTTGCAAGAACTGAACAATTTTATTTATACAAATTCTTGCATTCATTGACAGTATTTTATTTATATACAAGTTTTTACATTTTTGTAAAGCCACTAGCACGCACAGCATTTCGGGCAGGTCCTCGATCCTAATTTTCCCTGGAATACGACCCACCAAATCTTTTTAACCACCAGGTACCCATCCACTGCTAAGTGAACAGACTCCAGTTAAGGATTGGCACCCAGTCATCCCTCCCCAGCCATGTTACGAACCCAGGCCAAAGCACTCCAACCACTAGGCGAGTGCTCTACCACTGCACCACGGGGACTGTGTTCACCTACAGTACCTGGTTATTAGGCCTTAGGCATGTACTACTAGCAATTTGTGGGTTTTATTTATGGTCTGAACAGAAAGCCTGCCAAGGTTCCCCCTCCCAACAACTCTAGGCAGCCCATCCTCCCAACAAAGACCCAAAAGTGAGTCCATGCACCTGCCAAACCCCCTTTTTATGAATAAAAAGGGTTTACAAACAACAACTGATGATGTTTGAACACTTCCGGTACAAGTCCTTAACTGACAAATTTTGTTCGAACCACGAAGCTATAAATGCTTCACCCACGTACTACAAAAAAAAAAATTGCCAACAGAATCTAAACACCTAACCTATAAATGCACAATATACTAATATAATATTAATTTATATTTGAGAAAATTCATTTTGAATGAACAGCATGTTAAAATTTATGAATGCGTCTGTGGGGGCGACTGACGGATATAATGGACTAGTTGAAGACGGGTTGCTCTAGGATACAACTATCAGTCTCCGTGGTGTAGTGGTAAGACACTCGCCTGGCGTTCCGCGAGCGCTATGTCATGGGTTCGTATCCTGGCCGGGGAGGATTTACTGGGCGCAATTCCTTAACTGTAGCCTCTGTTTAACGCAACAGTAAAATGTGTACTTGGATGAAAAAACGATTCTTCGCGGCGGGGGATCGTATTCCAGGGACCATAGGATTAAGGTCTTGCCCGAAACGCTACGCGTACTAGTGGCTCTACAAGAATGTAACAACTCTTGTATATAAAAAAAAAAAAAAAAAAAAAAAAAAAAAAAAAAAAAAAAAAAAAAAAAAAAAAAAAAAAAAAAAAAAAAAAAAAAGTTAACTACTGTGTACTTTAATGGTAGCCAGTTTGCTGGAACAACCTTGCTGCAGAAATTTAACAAAAACCTTTCCTATGCAAACCAACGGCACAACAGAACCTCACGTGGTGCAACTGAAAGGGGCAACAAAATGGAATGTGGCATGGGTAAAGGCCACAGTCTGGAAATATGAACACTTAGGATGCTGGAGAATCTTTACAAGTGTGTACATGGTTGAATCTTGGAACACAAGGTAACGGCAGACTACGTACCTACATCTTAACAGGGGCGGAAGAATTATAGACGTGTCATTGCTTCAAAGAGCGAAATGCTTTTAGAGATTATAGTAAATTTTCTGCTGCAACCATCCCTCAGGAAGGCTCTAAGAAAAATTAAAGTATTGGGGCTACAGATAGAAAATGTAAAAGTAAATTTTTTACACGTTTGAATAGGTGACTTACGTGTGATCAGCAACATTGTTGATGGCCGAGTTAGTGGGAGGTGCTGGTGGGGGCGGGCAGAGCGTTTGGCAAGTTGTGCCCCGTCTCTCTCCATCCACCATCTGGTTCCTTTCTGCCAAAGTACAATGGTTAAAGATTAAGCAGTAACCTAACCTGTTTAGGAACCCTCAGCTTACTGAAAATTAGGAGTGATCGAAGGTAGAACTATTCCAGCAAGCACAGGTCAGTTTTGACATTCAGTACCACATACCTTTCCAAGTAAAACCAACTTATGGAATGCCAAGCTGGTGAACCTAACGACACCTTTAGAACAAATCCACAAGGGCTGTGATGAGGGTTCGAACCTACGTCTGGGATGGATCCCAGACGCGCCTTAATCGGTAACCCTCATCACGGCCCTTGTGGTCGCGTTCATTTGATGCATCACGCTATTGTGATTTCTGTATGTAACGCCTTCAGAAACTTGTCGGGCCATATCTAGTACAGTACACTACTATTACCTATACAAGGCATAGTGCTGTACAAGAACATAGCCCTAACAGATTCTTCTGCCAAATAAGCACATCTGAAGGTACAGAATATTGCAGGCGAGGAGTCACAATAACGTGGCTAAAGTATGTTGACCAGACCACACACTAGAAGGTGAAGGGACGACGAGAATGGTTCAGGACGGACTGAAACGTCAAGTCGATTGAGAGATGGTCCAGGACGGACCGAAACGTCGTCGTTCCTTCACCTAGTGTGTTGTCTGGTCAACATACAGAATATTGTTTATTACAAGGATGATCCCAGGACAATCATTTGCCTGAACCAAGGTCTACTGTTTGCCTTTAAAAAATGACTATAGAAATCTATTAACAGTCTCGATATTTAGAAATACATAGAATCTATTCCGAGAACAGTTTAGAAGCAAGCACTAACCATCTTGGGCACAGATTACACAACCTTTCAGTAGGTCAGGGACTTCAGGAGAGATGAACAGAAGCATTACTGTACCTCCATTTTCATCAAGGTTGAATAAAAGAAAATTATGGTCCCAGTAACGCAGTTGGTCATTCTTGATTATCTGGAATTCCGGGTTCGATTTCTGTGCGGTACAAATGATTGGGCACGTTTCCCCATTGCCTAATGCCCCCGTTTACCTAGCAGCAAATAGGTACCTAGGAATTGGCACAGCTATTACTAAAATACCTTCATTTGCACTAGTGTCACTAATCAACTAGTGTGAATATACCTTTGCCTTATTCCAAAAGTAAAACCAAAAAGTACCCAATTTCAACCCGTTTCTTAGTGCTTCAAACTCGCACCATTTTGTGCTACCCACTTCCCAATGTGCATGCCTAAGCCATACAACTTTACCATTGTAACCACTGCTATCAAATTGTTTAATGCAATTTACTATATACCTATTCATTGTCCTCTAATTTTGCTACAAATTACCTACTTACGATTAACCATTAGGTTAAGGACCTGTCCAAAATGCTATGTATGTTAGTAACTTTGCAATATATAAACATCAGTGTACCGTCATACACCCAATGTAATTTCTTATTACAGTATACACACACACATACATATATATATATACACACATATATATATACACACACATATATATACACACACAAAGTTAGTGTGCTTGTTGCAGGGTTGCATCTTGGGAAGGGGTCCTCTTTATATAAGCCCAATATGTATACTGTACACATTGGTTGCCTGTCCCCAGATGAATTATGAATTAAAATGTCCCAAGATGAATTGTTAAAATGAATGTCCCAGGTAAAAATTAAATATTAAAGTTGTAAACTCTGAAATATTATAAAAAAAAATCCAAATTTTATAGCTGATACTAGCAAGGTTCATGTGGGCTCGAGGTTATTTCTACCCCAGAATGGTTGGGCACATTTCCTATCGCCTAATGCTCCTGTTAACCTTGCAGTATGTAGGTACAGTACTCAGGAGTTGGTTACCTTGTTGTGTAGTTGCATCTTAGGCAGTCAGTAATTTTACTTGTGTTAGTTTCTGCGATATAAGTAATGTGTATTAATACACTGGTTGCCTGTCTTGACAATGAAAATCATTAGACAATTCCAGAATTTCAATTAGTTTTGTAAGACAGGAAGCCTCTGTAATTCGTGTTGGGGACAAGCAGCCAGTGTATATATATGATAGGCTTATATCAAGGTCCCCTCCACCCTGATTACAACTACTGACACTAGGATGTAACCCCCAGAAGCTGACCAACTGGGTTACCCCACTTACTGCTAGGTGTACAGAAGCATTAGGCAATTTGAAAACTTTCCCAACCCTTCTGTTCCAGGATTGCAACATGGAATTCCCGATATAGAGTAGAGAATGAACCCAACTATTACCAGGACCCCTCAAATATTGTGTACTTTAAGCAACCCAAATATAACCTTTAAGCAACTCAAATATATTGTACTTTAAGCAACCCTTCCCCAAGAGGCAGTCCCACAACATTCTCAGACTCCGATTTTCTGATAGGTGAATGGAGATCGAGAATCTAACCAGAGATCGCAGATTGAAACTCTGAAATAGAGCCCCTCCTCCCCACCCAATCCAAACAATGTTTTGGAGAGCCAAAAGGCAATAATGAAATGTGCCAATTTCATGTTACACTTGCGTCTCTCTGGCACTTCTACTACAGGGGCACATCACCTCCACCAACTTACTCCTAGGTGCAAACTTGGACTTCCAACGCAACGGCCGACCAGAAGTGGCGTTTGAGCTGTTAATGGTGCTGGAGGCGCTGTCCCCCGTCGAAGTCAAGTTCCTGGCACTGGTACTATCCTCGGGGCCAGCACTGGTACCGTCCTCAGGGCCAGCACTGGTATTCTTTGGCATGTTAATAGCAATGGTTTTGAAATCAGAAGTTATATTATTGTTGGCATCACTAACTATGCTAGTGGCAGCCGGGACAATGGTGCTCTTCGGGGCAATTATAATGCAGCTGTTTGGCGAAGCTTTTATGATGTTTGGTGTAACCTCCGTTATTACATTCTGTACATCGGTGCATGTGCCATTATCAAAATTAGGGACAATGGTAAAGTTGCCATTCATAGGTTTTGCTTCCACGATACCTGTGCTGCAAGCATCTTTGTCTTCAAAGATCAGGGTGTCAATTTCCGTAATGTTGGCAAAGCCATTTGTTGCATAGTCTGCAGTGGTGTCTGCTGGCATCTTCATGTAAGCTTCACACACGTCAGTGCACATGTTTCGACAATTAGATTCTAAATAGTTGGAATTTAAGTCGAACGGGGTGTTGAAAGCCATTGGGCCCAAGTTGCTTGCAGGACAATTAGTATTGCAGCCAAAGTTGTTAAAATAGGTGACTCCATTCCTCACTTCGTAACTAGGCGTGCAGCTCGAAGACATGCCATTAGAGTTCATAGAACCGACTTGTGGATTATCCTCGTAATTGGCCATACCAAGGGGATACAAGCCATTGAGTTGCGGCATCCATCCAGACAATGCACCACAGTAGGCACCATCAGGACCCCCACAAGAGCTGCTGCTGCTGCCGCCCGTGTACATGGGGACGAGTCTCGCTGCGAAGCCATTAGGGACGTAGGCAAGGACCCCTCCAGGCAGGTTCACGCAGTACATGATCCTCGGCCCTTCACCGTCTGTAGCAGGAAGGTTACAGTTATTAATACTTACTCCAACACAAAGATTTTAATTAATGATTTTAGACACGGGGAAAGATATAGTTGGAGAGAGAGATCCACAGCGAGTTACTCGAGGAGGAGGAGGAGGGGAGGGGGGAGAACCACTCATGAGGGAGGGGGGGGGAGAAAGAGCCACTCGATGAGGGGGGGGGGGGAAAGAGCCACAGGGAGCCACTCGAGGAGGGGGGAAAGAGCCACAGGGAGCCACTCGAGGAGGGGGGGGGGGAAAGAGCCACAGGGAGCCACTCGAGGAGGGGGGGGGGGGGGGGGAAAGAGCCACAGGGAGCCACTCGAGGAGGGGGGGGGGAAAGAGCCACAGGGAGCCACTCGAGGAGGGGGGGGGGAAAGAGCCACAGGGAGCCACTCGAGGAGGGGGGGAAAAGAGCCACAGGGAGCCACTCGAGGAGGGGGGGAAAAGAGCCACAGGGAGCCACTCGAGGAGGGGGGGAAAAGAGCCACAGGGAGCCACTCGAGGAGGGGGGGGGGGGAAAAGAGCCACAGGGAGCCACTCGAGGAGGGGGGGGGGAAAAGAGCCACAGGGAGCCACTCGAGGAGGGGGGGAAAAGAGCCACAGGGAGCCACTCGAGGAGGGGGGGAAAAGAGCCACAGGGAGCCACTCGAGGAGGGGGGGGAAAAGAGCCACAGGGAGCCACTCGAGGAGGGGGGGAAAAGAGCCACAGGGAGCCACTCGAGGAGGGGGGAAAAGAGCCACAGGGAGCCACTCGAGGAGGGGGGGAAAAGAGCCACAGGGAGCCACTCGAGGAGGGGGGGAAAAGAGCCACAGGGAGCCACTCGAGGAGGGGGGGAAAAGAGCCACAGGGAGCCACTCGAGGAGGGGGGGGGAAAGAGCCACAGAGAGCCACTCGAGGAGGGGGGGAAAGAGCCACAGGGAGCCACTCGAGGAGGGGGGGGAAAAGAGCCACAGGGAGCCACTCGAGGAGGGGGGGGAAAGAGCCACAGGGAGCCACTCGAGGAGGGGGGGGAAAGAGCCACAGGGAACCACTCGAGGAGGGGGGGGGGGAAAGAGCCACAGGGAACCACTCGAGGAGGGGGGGGGGAAAGAGCCACAGGGAACCACTCGAGGAGGGGGGGGGGGGGAAGAGCCACAGGGAACCACTCGAGGAGGGGGGGGGGGGGGGGGGAAGAGCCACAGGGAGCCACTCGAGGAGGGGGGGGGGGGGAAGAGCCACAGGGAGCCACTCGAGGAGGGGGGGAAAAAAAGAGCCACAGGGAGCCACTCGAGGGGGGGGGAAAGTGCCACTCGAGGAGGGGGAAGGGAAAGAGCCACAGGGAGCCACTCGAGGAGGGGGAAGGGAAAGAGCCACAGGGAGCCACTCGAGGAGGGGGGAGTAAGAGCCACAGGGAGCCACTCGAGGAGGGGGGGAGTAAGAGCCACAGGGAGCCACTCGAGGAGGGGGGGAGTAAGAGCCACAGGGAGCCACTCGAGGAGGGGGGGAGTAAGAGCCACAGGGAGCCACTCGAGGAGGGGGGGAGTAAGAGCCACAGGGAGCCACTCGAGGAGGGGGGGAGTAAGAGCCACAGGGAGGCACTCGAGGGAGGGAGGGAGGGGGGGGGGGAAGAGCCACAGGGAGGCACTCGAGGGAGGGAGGGAGGGGGGGGTAAGAGCCACAGGGAGCCACTCGAGGGAGGGAGGGGGGGGTAAGAGCCACAGGGAGCCACTCGAGGGAGGGAGGGAGGGGGGGGTAAGAGCCACAGGGAGCCACTCGAGGGAGGGAGGGAGGGGGGGGGGTGTAAGAGCCACAGGGAGCCACTCGAGGGAGGGAGGGAGAGGGGAAGAGCCACAGGGAGCCACTCGAGGAGGGGGGGAAAGAGCCACAGGGAGCCACTCGAGGGAGGGGGGGGAAAGCCACAGGGAGACACTCGAGGGAGGGGGGAAGAGCCACAGGGAGCCACTCGAGGAGGGGGGAAAGAGCCACAGGGAGCCACTCGAGGAGGGGGGGGAAGAGCCACAGGGAGCCACTCGAGGGAGGGGGGGGAAAGAGCCACAGGGAGCCACTCGAGGAGGGGGGTGGGGGAAAGAGCCACAGGGAGCCACTCGAGGAGGGGGGGGGGAAAGAGCCACAGGGACCCACTCAAGGGAGGGGGGGGGAAAAGCCACAGGGAGACACTCGAGGGAGGAGGGGGGGGAAAGCCACAGGGAGACACTCAAGGGAGGGGGGGGGAAAGCCACAGGGAGACACTCGAGGGAGGAGGGGGGGGGAAAGCCACAGGGAGACACTCGAGGGAGGAGGGGGGGGGAAAGCCACAGGGAGCCACTCAAGGGAGGGGGGGGGGGAAAAGCCACAGGGAGACACTCGAGGGAGGAGGGGGAGGGGAAAGCCACAGGGAGACACTCGAGGGAGGAGGGGGGGGGGAAAGCCACAGGGAGACACTCGAGGGAGGGGGGGGGGTAAGAGCCACAGGGAGCCACTCAAGGGGGGAGAGGAAAGCAAGATCCAGTAAGGCCCCGCTTGAGGGACAGGCCGTCCTCAGGAAGGGTGGGTGGGTGTGCTACACAGCTGGCGTAGCTGCGAGACGGGTGCCGGTGTTACGCAGCAATAGTTACCTTGAGCGGAGGTGTTGCCGGGGTTGACGGGGTAGAAGTACCACCCGTTGACTTGGAAGCTGCGATAGTCGACGGGGCCGTCCTGCCAGCAGTCTCCAGTGTCAGCCATTACGGTCCGCTCAGTGTGACGTCGCGTACTACACTACCCGGCTCTTGCGCCCTGACCTCCCTCACTCTCTCCTAGCCCCGCCCACCAGCGTCTCAACCAATGGCGGCGCAGGAGGTCGCTAACCAGCCAATAGCGGCAGGTGTCGAGGCAGCAGTCGGCTGATTGTTGCCGGGTCGTCCCGCCCCCTTCGCGTACAAATTCAAATTTCAAACTTCACACTTTACTATAGTAAACTAAACTAGTGCAGGCGATGAGTCACAATAACGTGGCTGAAGTATGTTAACCAGATCACACACTACAAGTTGAAGGGACGACGACGTTTCGGTCCGTCCTGGACTATTCTCAAGTCGATTGTGATGAAGAGGTAGGAGACGGGCAGTAAATAGGCAAGAGAGAGCTGAGGAGGAAAGTAAGGTGTAGGGGATAGAAGTAATGAGAACTGCAGCAGGCCTATTGGCCCATACGAGGCAACTCCTATTATAACCACCGAAGGAGATAGTAATAGGAATAAGAAGAGGATAGCAAGGGAGCGTAGGAGAAGACAATAAACAGAAAAAGGGGAGAAGAGAGAAAGAAAAGGGAAGAGAATAAAAAATTAAATGGAAGGGGTAAGCTTATGTTAAGTCACGTTTGTTAGAAAGATTAGAGCATTTGAGTATATACTGTGAAAGGGAAGAGTCCACAGCAACAAAGCCAGGACTCAAGTTCATGTTGGGTACATGTGTATAAGAGCCGATTCTACAAGACGGCGTCTGTGTAGAGTAGAGGCAGGAAAGATTATTTTGGAGGAAGACCAATCAATGGGATGATTAGAATCCCTCACATGGCAGAAGAGAGCATTGTTAGTGTCTGCAGACTTAACACTTCTCTTGTGTTCTTTAAGTCTGTCATTCAGTGTACGGCCAGTTTCGCCAAAGTATTGGAGAGGACAAGATGAACAGGAAATAGAGTAGTTCCCCATTTTGCACCAGCAAGATAACGTAAGCTTTTAAGGGTTGATAAATGTTAATCTTCTTGTTTGAGGAGCTGTTCACTTGAGACAGTTAAGCAAATCCCAGCTGTGTCTGGGTACAAGTGACAGGATGAACAACCCAGCGGGTTTTCTTCCTATTGGGGAGTGTTGTACATTCTGCTATGGCGGTGTGTTCACTCACAAGATGAGTGGCGCTGCCCAATAAACTCGCCCCTCGGGGCAAAATTAAAAAAAAAATTTAACCAGCAGCATTAGAAGCAGGAGGAGCAGTGTGAACTAGATTGCTACGAAGTGTGTTAGTTTGTCGAAAGGCGAGTTTTACGTCAAGAGGACGAAAGGTATTGGTAAAAGTTTTGAGTTCAGAAATGAAGGGAAGGCATAGTACAGTGCTACTAGTGTTGGAAGCAGGTTTAGGATGAAAGAAATTTCGTTTAGCTTGAGAGTAGGCACAGTTGATGAAATATAAATATAAATAATAAAGGTAGATAGTAGATAATAGATACATAATAGATAGATAATAGATAGATAATAGATAGATAGTAGATAGATAGTAGATAAAGGCAATTTCAAAATAAACTAGAGTATAGTAAACTAACCCAGCTGCCTAGTACGGGCTATTCCTGCCCGTGCCATCTCTTGGCTGGCTTAATCTTTATCAATCTGCCGGGGTCCCAGTAGAACAGTTGGCTGCGTTCTCGACTCACAACTAAGGCGCTGAACTAACAATTGTTGAGTTACAGCATTGTTGAACAAGTTACAGCATTGATGAACAAGTTACAGCATTGATGAACAAGTTACAGCATTGATGAACAAGTTACAGCATTGATGAACAAGTTACAGCATTGATGAACAAGTTACAGCATTGATGAACAAGTTACAGCATTGATGAACAAGTTACAACATTGATGAACAAGTTACAGCATTGATGAACAAGTTACAACATTGATGAACAAGTTACAACATTGATGAACAAGTTACAGCATTGATGAACAAGTTACAACATTGATGAACAAGTTACAGCATTGATGAACAAGTTACAGCATTGATGAACAAGTTACAACATTGATGAACAAGTTACAGCATTGATGAACAAGTTACAGCATTGATGAACAAGTTACAGCATTGATGAACAAGTTACAACATTGATGAACAAGTTACAACATTGATGAACAAGTTACAGCATTGATGAACAAGTTACAACATTGATGAACAAGTTACAACATTGATGAACAAGTTACAACATTGATGAACAAGTTACAACATTGATGAACAAGTTACAGCATTGATGAACAAGTTACAGCATTGATGAACAAGTTACAACATTGATGAACAAGTTACAGCATTGATGAACAAGTTACAGCATTGATGAACAAGTTACAACATTGATGAACAAGTTACAGCATTGATGAACAAGTTACAACATTGATGAACAAGTTACAACATTGATGAACAAGTTACAGCATTGATGAACAAGTTACAACATTGATGAACAAGTTACAGCATTGATGAACAAGTTACAGCATTGATGAACAAGGTATAACATTGATGAACAAGGTATAACATTGATGAACAAGGTATAACATTGATGAACAAGGTATAACATTGATGAACAAGTTACAGCATTGATGAACAAGTTACAACATTGATGAACAAGTTACAACATTGATGAACAAGTTACAACATTGATGAACAAGTTACAACATTGATGAACAAGTTACAGCATTGATGAACAAGTTACAACATTGATGAACAAGTTACAGCATTGATGAACAAGTTACAGCATTGATGAACAAGGTATAACATTGATGAACAAGGTATAACATTGATGAACAAGGTATAACATTGATGAACAAGGTATAACATTGATGAACAAGGTATAACATTGATGAACAAGGTATAACATTGATGAACAAGGTATAACATTGATGAACAAGGTATAACATTGATGAACAAGGTATAACATTGATGAACAAGGTATAACATTGATGAACAAGGTATAACATTGATGAACAAGGTATAACATTGATGAACAAGGTATAACATTGATGAACAAGGTATAACATTGATGAACAAGGTATAACATTGATGAACAAGGTATAACATTGATGAACAAGGTATAACATTGATGAACAAGGTATAACATTGATGAACAAGGTATAACATTGATGAACAAGGTATAACATTGATGAACAAGGTATAACATTGATGAACAAGGTATAACATTGATGAACATGCTACATAGATCGTGAACACGCAGATCCTAGTCCTATTTACCTAATTACAAAATCCTAACTAATCCTAATCCTAATTAAAATTCCAAATCCTAATTACAATACTGCAATTAACGTTTGGGTTGTTATGGAAATTGTCGTAAAATCATCAGGACAAGTGGGTGATATTTGGCAAGCCGCCGACTCCATGTCCCCGTCGAGGCCACTAGAGAGATGGTGACCCTCAGGAAAATTCAGGTAAATATTATTCTGGTATAAAGATTTTGAATTGTCTTCAGCGTCAGTGGTGTATTCATCTTTAAACTCTCACAAGGGACTCACAAGGGACTCACAAACTCACAAGGGACTTCAAAGGACTCACACGGTCCCTAAAGGGTCTCACAGGTCTTCTGTGAGATCTGGAAACCAAAAGTTGCAAGTAGCACGGGCTATGGTGAGCCCGTAGTGGACTTACCTGGCACAGGAGCGGGGCAAGTAGCACGGGTTATGGTGAGTCCGTAGTGGACTTACCTGGCACAGGAGCGGGGCAAGTAGCACGGGCTATGGTGAGCCCGTAGTGGACTTACCTGGCACAGGAGCGGGGCAAGTAGCACGGGCTATGGTGAGCCCGTAGTGGACTTACCTGGCACAGGAGCGGGGCAAGTAGCACGGTTATGGTGAGTCCGTAGTGGACTTACCTGGCACAGGAGCGGGGCAAGTAGCACGGGCTATGGTGAGCCCGTAGTGGACTTACCTGGCACAGGAGCGGGGCAAGTAGCACGGGTTATGGTGAGTCCGTAGTGGACTTACCTGGCACAGGAGCGGGGCAAGTAGCGCGGGCTATGGTGAGCCCGTAGTGGACTTACCTGGCACAGGAGCGGGGCTGTAACTCGAAGAATATAACCTTGGGATGCCCAAGAAATGTTGTGATTGAGATAATGAGGATGGAATTAAATTTACAGAGTATTGGGGATAAAATTTCAGAGATAAATGCAGCTTCAGCGATTAGACTAATGAGAGGCGAGGAAGCCAATGAATTAATCCTCTCACAGTGAATTAGAACCTTGGGATTTACGGGTTATTCATGCAAGTGCCACTTCTTGGGTGGCTTAATCTTCATCAATCAATCAATCAATCAACTTTGGGATCGACTTCACGGGAGACATCTCCCGTCACGCAGGATGCAGTCACACCTCCACAGATCTCTAGTATCAGCTCTTGATACTGGTAATGGCTCAAAAGGGCCACTACTTACGGGCTATTCATGCCCGTGCCACCTTTTGGGTGGCTTAATCTTCATCAATCAATCAATCAACTTTGGGATCGACTTGATATTGGTCCAGGACGGACCGGAACATCGTCGTGTCTCTATCTTCTGGTGTGTGGTCTGGACAACACTTCCTTGTAGGGGTAGAAATAGCCTGAGCTACTCATCCCTTTGAGATGTATTGTTTTACTTGTCTCAATAAACATACTTGAAGACGAGGAGTCACAATAACGTGGGTGAAGTATGTTGACCAGACCACACACTAGAAGGAGAAGGGACGACGACGTTTCGGTCCGTCCTGGACCATTCTCAAGTCGATTGAACCCGCTCAATCAACTTGAGAATGGGGGACTGAAACGTCCTCGTCCCGTCACCTTCTAGTGTGTGGTCTGATCAACATACTTGAACTTCAACACTTCCTGGATATAATTCTTGGTGGATCGGATACCTTTGATATCGTTCGCGTTATGCGTTTTTGTTGTCGTATTGGCTTCCTCGGTGATATTTAGGAATCTATGATTATCCCTCACGTCTGATGGTGCTACAATGCCTGCCCGGCTTGGTGCCTTCTTTGATAACTACTTACTGGGTCAACACTT